CCTGCTGCCAAAGCAAACATTGTTATAAAAATTACATTCAAAAGGTTAAAAAAAAATCCAAACTAATGAGAGTATAAAAGATCAAGTGATATATCTGAAAATACATTATCCTACTCTGTACTGCAGGCTTGTTGTTATAGAGTATTAGACTTAATGCTTTTCCTATATTTCAGTTATGGCATAAGCAGTTTGTCAGGGCCTTGTGGGCCTGACAGAATTATACTGGTAGAAATTCTGTAACTGGCCAAAACAAATAGATCTGATATTATCTGCTGTATGAATAGCTTTATCTTTCACAACTCTTATGATTTAATATTGTGAAACAAGCATCTGTCATCCTTTATCCAATAAGAGAACCAATTTTCTGATACAGGTTTTTTGTTTGTGTTGTTCTTACCGACATTCTTAATAATAAAAAATATTTTTCTCACTACAGAAGTTTCTGTAAGTTTTATGTATGTTTGCTCTGAAATTTGCTCAGAACACTTTCTCTGCATGATCAATATCCATTATATCTGTCTAAAATAGTTTTATTAAATGCCTGATTTTATACTGTTGCTTACAAACAGATCAAGAAATGCATGAATCTGCTCTGATTAGAAGTCGCTAAAGAATATTAGATCAGCTTCCATTTTTTCCTATTGTTTTTAAAACTGAACATCTGAGGCTAACAAGTATCATACAGAGAAATCACATTGTGTCGTATTACCCTATCCTATTAGCCAGATCTTCATAAGGTAGTGTAAAAAGTTAACTTTACATGAGTAAAGCCTAAAAGCCTGCAAAGCCTGAGACTAAAGAATCCACCAGAGTTAGAATATGTACCGCTTTCACAAAGATTGTAAGCGAATTGGCAGACCAGCTCACTGTGTAAGCCATGAGAGTCGGATAAATGCAGAGCCATGTGGTACTAACTGTGTTTCACAACTGCGGCTCTGTCTACCCAATATGGAGGAGGAAGTATTTATAAGAGTAGCCTCTTGCCTTGTCAAAAGCTTTCCTCTGGGTTTCCAGAGCAGCTGTGCAATGTTTTGTGCTTGATAGTTACTGTTCGTTCCAGCTGCAATTCAGGATAGTGGAAATGAATATCTGCAGTTTATCAAAGCACTTCATTGTAATGAAAAGTACCTGGAAGCTTTTACTTATCTAAAGTAGTTTATATATATAAATATATGTTTTTTTAATAAAAAAAAGAGCTGGCCTTTAAGTATGAACCCTGAACTCTAGAAATGTATTTTTGATCACCTTGTACAGGAAGTCTTTCAACAAAGGTGCTTATTGTCTCTCTCTCAGCTGCTGATAGCAAATATACCTAAAATCATTCTCAAAGATCACCAGGAAAGGTCACATCAAATAAGCAGAAATGAGATTTGTCATCATGAGACATGACATTTTAGTTTGCATAAACAAATTACAACTCTGGCCTCATAATCTGCCCCTTCAGAAAAGGGGCTTTATCTTAGTCACTGCCTCTGTTGGATACTCTTCTGCCAGCGTACTGCAGGGCAGCAAACAGTCTTTAGGTAGATAACACATGAGGCCATTTAGGATTTTACATGTCAAAACAGCTTAGATTCTAGTACCCGGTAGCTAACTAAAGCAGATCCAGAAACACTCATGTCAAGGACTTTCAGAAAGGTGTAGTCCTTAAGAGACAACCTGCTGATGTCCCCATCAGACTCTGTTTCTCCGTAGCTGTGGGTAAACCTTCCTTCATTAGTTGGAAGCAGTTGGCAGGAATGTAGATGATCCTTGCAGACACTTCTAAAATGGTGACAGGGCGCGTCGGTGAGGTAGGCCGCTGACCTCAGTCATTTAGAAGTAGCAGAAAAAGTGAACCTGAAGTAAACAGAATAGTCAGGTTATGAATGTAACACAGCGAAGGGTTGAAAATAGAGGGAGAAGTTATGTTTGATTACTCTCAGGCCCGTCCAGCAGACTGATTTAGAGCTGGGAGAAAAGGTTCTTTCGCATGTTTTGTAAGGCAGTGATGGAGGAGAGAAAGGACGTGAAAAATCATAGTATTACTGGATTCTGTGTCAGAATGTACTTACATTTAGCCAGTTAGAAAATGCAAATTAGTATTTTTCAGTATTTCTGTGCTCTTACACTTGTACTTGCTTATCTGACATAGCGTGATATCCAGTCAGTGAAAAAAATGCCATTCCATTTGTAATTTTTATAAGATCCTCTGAGATTAAGCTATGATTACTTAAACTATGTAATTATTGACAATATGAATTCTATAAATAGTATTTTTTTTTAAATACAGACATTTTCCTCTTAAAGTTTAAAAAATAACAAGTGGCTTGGGTTTTTTTGTTGTTTTTTTTTTCAATAGAAAAAACAAAAGAATATTTTGCGGATAGGAATTCAGAGTCTGGGTTCCATGTTGTGGGGTGATGACATTTGTAGCAGTGATACTCCTGAAGATATTCATAGTCTTACAAAATTTCTGTATGTTCTCCGTGGCCTCCTCAGAAAATCTTTGTCAGCCTGCATCGTCACAGTGCCCGCTCACCTTATCCAGGTAGGAATGCTGTCTCTGCTATATTTCATAGCTGACACATCAGTTAGCAAGAATTTAAAGTTTATGGTAAGAAAATAAAAGCAATTTTGGACATTTTGAAAACGCTTTTTGTTCAAAGGGCAAAGTTAAAACGGACCTTCATTGTAGTGTTTCTGTACTGTTGTGGGACACTTGTGCTGCAAAATGTACAAAGACTTAAGCACAAGACCATCTTAGATACTATTATGCCTTATATGGGTCTTAGTCTTTTTTGAAAAACTATAAAAATTTCAGGTAAAATTTAAAGAAACAAAGAGAATCCTGCTAGTAATCCTTTCTTAAATTTATTTTTTACAACATCCCTATGTACTTTTTCACTGCCTTCAGAACACTGTTTAGAGTTTTAGTACAAGACTTTTCAGTCCACTGTCTTCATCTGTCATACTCGTTACAATGATGTGCAATCTTGTTTTTAAAAGCCAGGAATTGAAAGATACAGGTTTACTCTTTGATTCTAATGTCCAGTTGTACTGGGACCAGGAATAAACCAGTTATGGTATCAGAGTAATTTTCCCAACTGCAAAATCAGAAGCTGCTATAACAGCACCTTTTCTGAGAGTATATAGAGACTTAAATTTATCTTCTGGAAATGAAAAATGTAGATAGTCTTTTTTTCTGCAAGTGGTAATGTAACTTGCAAAAGCAAAAATATTATTCACAATGAACAGAGAACCTATAATTTTAGATATTAATGTGATTTCATTATAGTAAAAAAGTACTGGATAAAACCTCATATTATGCAAAATGTTTTCATAGTAGATGGGTTTATCATTAGATTAAATCCTATCTTAGGTTAAGTACATGGCTTCCACTTAGGTATTGCATTTTGTAAAGATGTTTGAATACCAGCAAATGTTATTTATCTAGATACCTGATACACTTACTGCTTCGAAAATAAACTTGATTTTCTAGTTTTAACATTGCAATAAAAAGTGTATGAATATTTCTCTCGCAGTGCAAACCTCCATCTCCTTACTTAGCTATTTCTAAACATTAGAAAGCAGTTTGCCTTCAAAAACATTGACAGCAAAATTTAGTGCAATGAATAGAATTTGTGAATGTAAAACTAGCATCCATCTTTTTACACATTGGAACTACCTGTCCATAATTGGGACATAGAATCAGTTTCATTATACTCTTTTTTATATATTAAGTCAATAAAAGGTATGATTGTATTTTAGAGAAGTAGTCCAGAAGCATCTCTAAGAAGCAAACTGAAGGACAAAGTTTTTTATTTGTTGCAAACTTACCTGCAAAGTTGATTTTGGTTTTGTGTTTATAAATCCCATATAAATTGATTCCTGTGGAGTTAGGATTGAATTTATATCTCATTTTTTAAATAACTGGTTTTTTAATTTTAACAGAATTGTTTTACAGTAAGTGCTAGAATGTTCTGAATTTTAAAAAGGAAACATTATTTCCAGAATCTTTGCTTAGCAGCCTTAAACAAACGAGAGCATCAATTTTTTTTTTCAGTTGTTAGACTTCATGTATCCTTCTTTAAGCACTAAACTATGGCAAAAACTGTCATTAGGAGGAGCAAAGCTGCTGAGGGTTCCTTATACCCCACATTACTCAGTTCCCAGAGCCCTGCTGTGTAGTTGTTCCACTCTCCAAGAAGCCTGTTAAAGAGCCCCTGAGAGCATGTGTACAGCCCTCCATGTTAATAGTTAATTGGTGAGGATGGCAAGATGAGAGGACAGCCGAACATGTGGTCTCTCAGGCTCAAGCCGTAGACAGACCTTTAGTTATAATAACAGCAGCTGCTCACATTCTCACAACCCAGCTACTCACCATTCTGTTGCTGAGGTTTCTTACTGGATTAAAAAAGTAAAGAAAATACCTTTTCTTTCCAAGAAAAGAAGAGAGGGGGAATTTTTTTTCCAAATGCATTTCTGTATATATGTTTAATTTGATCAGCGTAAGTTCAAGCATATGCTTTTTCTGTTGAATCTTAAAGTCAGTATGAAGGCATAGAAAATTCACACTATTTTTCTGAAGATGTAGTCAGTTCCACATTTTCTCTGAACTACCATTTCTCTGTTTTCTATGTTATCTTTTGCCTCCCAACTGTATTAAGTGGTCTGCAACTAAATTCTTCACATGAATAATTTCCATGAAGGTAAATATAAGTTCAAAATCACATTTTTAATCAAGGTTTTGTTTGCATAACATACACAGAAAAATAGTTTCATTTTTACCTGCTTGGTCTTGAAAAAATAGATTTTTAGTAGTGACTCATACCATATCTTGTCTCTGTCAGCCCCCAGTACTACTACAATGAAGAAGAAATAAAACTCACAATTGATAGTACTGATTTTCAATAGGGACAATGTCTTTCCAATCCAGACTAGTTAATCTGTAGCCCAAATTATACTTTTTTATATGAAGTCTATGAATAAAGCACATATACATATGCTATATATATATATATATAGTTTGAGATTGGTTTCTTTTATATATTTTGCCAAATACTTCTCATGCTTTACTGTGACAGGGAGTTCCACAAATTAAATCTACCTGGTTTCTTTCTTTTTCAGAAAGTTTAATTTTGCCTTTACTTTTCATAAATTATATCTTTGTTCTTGGCTGATGAGACAATAAGATGAGGCTCCCTAGTATATCTTTTCTGTATTCTGATTGGTTTGTATTTTTCCTCATGCTGCCTACTTAATCTGGTTTTAAACAGTCATATTTCTTTCAATCATATTTTGCTTTGTTACAGTAACGTAATACAATAATGCTATTATTGTTTGTTCACTTTTCCTACATTCTAGTGTCTGCTTTGTCTCTTTGATTACCACTGAACATTAAACAATCATTTTATTCTTGATGCTTTTCCCTCTGTGGTACACATCCACCAATGTGGCTCTTTCATTATTCCAGCTATTCGTTGTTTTGTATTTAATATCTTTATAAAAATAAATTGCATTTATCCAAAGATGATGGTCATTCACCCAGTTTGATGGGACACTGCATGTCTTCACAGTCTTCTGTAAGGCTATATTTTGGTAAAAGACACAAATTTCCGAAAAATCTGGTTGTGTACAGAGTTTTTTCAGAATAATTTAAAGAAATTGTAGTCCCCTGAAGAACACAGATTCTTTGTGGTTTATTGATGAAACTTCTAGTGCAAAGGGTGCATGAAGAAAAAAGAAAATTCCCTTTTCTTAACCACAAAAATAGGAATACATTATTCTGGAATAGAATTTCAAGAAAATGACACAAAAAACTTACCCAATTATGAATTTTATTCAGATGATCTGTGACAAGTTTTACTTGATTGATATTTTCTACTGATTGAACATACTCTTAATCTTACACTGTCTGTCAGTTAATAAATATTGAGATACTTACAAGTGTGATTAAAATAGTTGATGGAAGGTTATTTTTCAAGTCTTTCTACTGCTTCTTGAAAATTCATTGTGCCTATGAAATCAGATGGTGCATTTGAAAAGGGAAAATTAGTTCCATTTTTAAAATCTAGCATTGATCAAGGAGAGCAGACTGAAGAGGCATTTCATTTGTTGTTACACTTTCCAAATTTAAGGAATATTGTAGAAACAAGTAAGGACTCTTTTTCTGTATGTTGATAATCTGTACATTTTAGTACCTAAATTAAAAAAAAAAAAAAAATTGTGCTACAGAGTGTGACTTAAAGGACTTTAATGTCACTGCTTTATACTTGCAAAAGCCCTAAATTAAAATTTAAAATATTTTCCTATTGTGTTTTATTCTTTTTCTTTACTTACTGGAAATCATTGATAAATCCAAAACCATCTTTCCCCAAAAATACTAAATAATGTTCTTCCCAATTTTGTATCACTTAAGTAATACCTTTTTTAAGTAGATCATTTTTTTCACTGGGAGAAAGCATAACTCTTTTATTAAAGCTATCCTTTATTTTGAACTCGAAGCTGTATTACTGTTAAGGACTAACAACCATATTAGTCAGCATGTACCAAGGGAAATTAATTGACTAATGAAAAGTCAGTATGAATAAGTCTTCTTAAAGAACCTGTCCTCAAGAGTCTGAAGTTCTGTTTAGCAAGGTATTTTCATTATTTCATCCAGTATGTTAAAAAATTAATTTCCTACAATATTAATGTTTTGATGCTTTGAATTCACTGAGGTGCATAAGTTACTGTATGTTTCAGTGTAGAAAAAATCAGAAACAAACCTTTTTACATCCATAGACTTTTGTGTTCACACTGAGTAATTTAGCAGCTAAACTCGAAGTCAAGCAAGAGAGTGCTTTAGAATCCATTGCTAATATAAGATTATAAGATGTGAACTCTTATACCTTGTGAATTTCTCATGGTTTGAAATCTTTATTCCGATGACAAGAGCTAAGAGTGATTGCCTGCCTTAGAACTCTAACTTCCCAGAGTTCACAAGTGTAAAATGCTGAAAAACCTTCAAATGTATTTGATGATGTAGCCGCTACACACAAATTTGAGATCGAATGTCATATAGTTTCTATGTCATAGTTAAACAAGCTTTTGAAATTCTCTGCAAACCAGAAACTATGAAGATTAAATGGTCTTTATGATTTTCTATATTTGAGGGTTTTTACTTGCTTTTTAATGTTGCGTGTTGCATTTTGTTGGATGTGAGAAATACAGTTTAATAACCATACAAATATTTATTGACAATCATGAGTTCATGACAGGTATTCTTACATTATCCACATAGTTATCAGATATGAATATTCTGGTTTGGATATTCTAGACATTCATAACAGTATCTTTAAAACTATGAGTAGTAAGCTGAGACAAGTATACAAATTCAAAATTTAAATTGTGTGACAGTAAGTAATTTTGTTTTCAATTTCTATTATTGTTGATAGCATTTGCTAATCAAGTTGCAGAAGAAATAGAAATATTTTGTTGCTTCATAAAATAAGTTTATGGTTGCCAACAGGCTGTGTTCTAGCTCTACCACTTCTCATTTGGTAACAA